ATAACCGTGGTATGTGATCTGGCATCCGAGGTCCTGGCAACGAGATTTTCGGTAGTCACGTCCAGAGGTTTTAGTTTCGACACCCCTTGAGGGAATTTCAGGAGAATTTAATTGTCTATCTAAACTACAAGTTTAATAAATGGACCAAATAACCCGAAACTATGTGTTTCAACCAATTTGCAAACAGTATTATAAACAACAATAGTTTCTCATTTCAGTATCTATGAAAAAAAAAGGAAAAATTGTACAAGGTGCCATAAATCATGGCTACTCTGAGCTCTTGTGAGAATTGCCTAATCTTGTCAACTCATCTCGACTGCGTCGTCTAGACTGACGACATACCAACAATTGCTGCAAATTGGGAAATGTGGACCGCTGCTATCCTCACTGACACCACTCTGCGCGACACGTTCATCTCGCGTCTCAAAAACTACCTTACGAACAGTTTCAACAAAATGCCGTTCTCAGATTTATACGACACCGTGAGCGGGCTCACATGTGCTCACAGCCATGATCCGCCAACTGCCCAGTAATCAGCGAAGCACTGACTAGTAGGGAGAAGCTCCGTATTTCTGGGACGGGAACGCTGAATTGAACTCTTGAATAAGCTGAACGGCGGGCTTCGACGCCGTACTTACTTGCAGCTCGGACGACATTTTTCAAGGTATTCAAATAAGTATGAGGACGCACTCTAGCCCAAGAGGTAAGCGGAAAGCCTCAAAAAGACATCAACCTCAGACCCATTAAAAAGGTTTTCGCGGTCTTCGAGAGTCTGGTCCCTCGTAGATCGGGGTTACATTACATTTTTGGCATCTCCAACTGTCTGCTTGACGAAAATATTTTTGAGAACGCAAATTGAACTATTTTTATTGTATAAAATCAAGTCAGGAAGAAAGGAAGAAAAGAGAAGGATTACAAGGAACGGTTCCGCTGCCGAGGCCGAGTAACTCAGTATATTGAAACTAGACAGACGCTACAATCGTTGAAGCTCGTATCTTGGATTTAGCCGGTTCAATTTGTATGTAGCTTTGAATGTTCCATGGCCAGTCAGTCTGGGAACCAGTCGATCATTCCCGTCTGCCCATTTATTACGTTCCAGCGATGCCTAGAAACGCACGCTTTGGCACTGGAAGTAGTCCACTTTAGTGAAACAACGTAGAATACATAGAACCGCAACGGGATTCGCTATGATACATGAACATCGGTCAACATCTACATTGATCCCCACCGGGGAATATTCGTCAAGTCATGAAATCTAACTCAATCGCTGGTGACCGAAAGCGCACTCCACTATCAACATCTGAGTCGGGTATGGTGCATGTGGTGTGATGGATGCCCGCGTCCGCAACCTTGTGCAGGTTTAGCATCAACCGCGAGACCATGGCTGCCGAGATGCTGGTGGGAAGCGTGGGTTTCATTAATTTAAGTCGGGTGCTGGAAATGTGTAACTGACGTAGATGTCATCCATGAGAGGCTGCTTGCAAGGAGAGGCTTGATCCAATGATTCAGATCAGCGCGACAGCAAGAAGGGCAGAAGAAGGGAAAACTTACACGGCCGAACTAAATTGGGGCGAAATTAGGGAGGGCAGGCACATAGCTGGGAGATCCAACGTACAAGGAGCATCAGGATATTCATGAGGTTCGACACCAAGATCACTCTATATTCTTATTCAACAAGGGCTGAAGGGGACAGACCGAAGGATGAATTACACGAAATATAAAGCACCTGTGTCGATATCCTATTAGAAATTGGTCGATGTTGAAGGGAAAAGACTCACCGTCTCGAACAAGACAATGAATCAGTCTGAAGCGGCTATTTTCCCTATAGCTCTGCGTCAATCCGCGGAAAAGGGTAAGCCCGAAAATTAGTAGATCAAGACCGAACCTGGCAAGGTGTTGAAACAGATGAGAGTTCGGTGAGTATTCCAATAAAAAAACGTACTCTACTAGCCACGCTCCAGCGATGCCTGGAACATTCCACGTAAGGCTGAAGAATGTATAAGTTGATGAAAAGAAAACGCACGCTTGGCACTGGGAGGAAATTAGTGGAAACCAAGAAGCTGGGGAAAGAAAGACGTACGACTCTGGGTATATAAGATTCGTGCATTGTGGAAGCGCAAAATCACCACTTCCAGGTCCGTACACTTGGTCGCCACCAACGCTTGATGGGGGCACTGATGAGCCCCCGGGATTGGTTGTCGCCAACCACTGCGATATAATAAGGTATTTGAATACGAACATGCATGAAATAAGACCCACACCAGCGAGCCCAAAAGCTATGAAGCCACAGGCGCTCAGGAACATCCCCATGCTTTTGTTGCGGTTGTACATTGCAAAAACGCGTAGGGCGAGGATTACTCCAATGAAGACGTGAGTTGCATAAGAAATAAATCGAAATGCGCACATACAGTAGATTACAACCATTTGCAATATAACCATGATCTTTGGGCGAGTAAAAACATGGGACATCTGCGGCGCATAATATCAGGGGCAAAGAGAAGAAGGGCGGCTGTTAGCACACCTCTAAGGGGAGGAATCAGCAGGTCGTGATCATGGTACAGTGCATATACGCACCTGTGGGTCAGTTGAGCGAAACGGGGATATGGTTGAGCGAAACGTGAATATGGTGTTGATTATATTGGTGCTGAGCGCAAGGTAGCGATTGAGGAAGAACCAGTACGAGCTGGGTCGCTTCGGGCGCCTCCAGATGTACTGTATCTCCTCAGACAGAGTGAGGGTGTGGTCATAGCAAGGTATTACTGTGAGACTGGTAAAACCCCGATGCAAAGAGATGGGGAAGCATACCAAGTCCCAGGAGGAATAACCCGTGGTTGACCTGCCTAGAAGACTTGAAGGTGAGCCGCTGCAAAGCACGAAAGTAAAGAGCTGACTGGTCGGCGACAATTTGAAATGGCACCAGTGAATTCTGGTCCTTGAAGGGGTCCATTCGAGGAGATTCATCCAAGAGGGTGGTGTGACAAAAGCTGTCAACCCTCAAATTTGACATTGATCTGGCGAAGCGTGGGTAATTATAAACAATCATTTAACGAAAGCCCGAACAATTCATCCTGTTTCTTACCCGAGGTACGCGGGTAAGAATCTAGCGCTAGTGCGCCAGCACTTGTGGAAGCTTACGTAGAAAGACTAGAAATTTGTTCAACGCCCATGCAGAAGCGCTCACGTAGTAAAATCTAGTCGTTTGGTACCGAACCCGACTTGCGGTTTGTATTTCAGCGCCCTAATTTTTACCTAAAATGCCTCTTTGCATATAAAATACTGAAAAAAAACCACAAACCCTTTCATCGCTCTGAATACTACCGCTACATTTGCGTTACCTCCTCCATCACAGTTACAGCTATTTTTGGAACCCAAATTGGAACCGGTTTTTAGCTAACCGTGGGAAGTGTCCATTATCCTGGGTTTGCAATTTGCCCGCAAGTTCCAAAGTTCTCTCTTTTCGATGTGGGATAATGGGACTCAGTCTGCAGAAAGCTTTTCAAATCCATCCGCTTCACTGGTTTTTAGCCCGTGTTGCCGGTGAAAATTGCCCAGGAGGAATGCCGTTCCAAGTTACGCAATTGTTACGCAATGGTTTCTCTCCGATCACGCTTTTCCCCCCCTGAAACTGGACAGAGCAGAGTTCAAACCTGGTTCAAACTAGTCTCGTTTCCAGACGTTAGGGTAGTCACTTTATGCAGACGTAGCATAGTCTAGGAGGAGGTTTGTGAAGAGCTTGAAGGTGCTAGCAACTGAGTGTAAGCGAATCCATACATAAGTCAATCTACGCACAAGACAACGCAAGTCAACACACCAAAATTCAAACTCCGCTTGGTAGGCCAAGTCAATTTGCCAAGTCAATGGGTTACTCCTCGTTATTTATCGGATCAACTCTTACTCAGGAACTCCGGCAAACAGTGTGTGGGTCTCGGCTGCCGTTACAGGGCTCTTGGGACTCCTTTTTTTCGCTAGTCCGGCTGCGATAGGCGCCCTATTCACGCTCAGTGCTATCGCACAATATATTTCGGACTCCATCCGATTTCTGGGCGAATTTTCAGTCAGGACCGTTCAATCTCGGGAAGTTTGTGCGTTGCGGCAGTTTATTAGATTCCAATGTCATATCTTGTAACCCGGTTGCGATTATTTCCGTCCTTTGGATGGAATTCATGTCTCTTGTCTTACTCTTTGCGGCTATTCCACAGGTTAACACACAGGACATCAACTATTCTGTTGTTGTTGTGGGTGGATTCATTGCGCTTGCAATGCTTTACTATTATTTCGCTCGGTATGGTGGGAAGACTTGGTTCAGTGGACCCCGCAGGAACCTTGACGCCGGAAACACCGGAAGTACAGGAAGACGATAAATATATTATTACCGATAAAAAGAGTAGTACTTGAATCATATCCACACCATGCACGCATCTGTAACCGAAATACTTTGAAGTAGATAAACCCGTACGATGAATATCGCATAGTCTCCCAATTTGTTAAGAAGCCGAGGAGAAATTGTAGTAGGCAGGGGAATGAGAAGAACTTTGACACGAAGCGCAGGAAGCCCAGAATTTTTTACAACTCCGTATTCGTGTTGTCTCTGCTATTGGCGGTTATGAGACTGATTGATTCCCTCAGTTCAATGATAATAAACTGAACTGTAGTTCATGCACTGCTTCTAAATACAATTTACTTCCCGTGAGTGGAAATTTCAAGCACCCCACTTAATAGGGAAGAGAAGAAAACAGCACAACACGGGGGAAAAGAGCGGAGAAGCCTATTTGATGCAGGGAACTCTATTCTCCCTACATAGTTAGACCAAATGATCAGAATCGTTTTTTTTTAAAAAAACAAAAAACAAAGAACTTAATGGCAGACCAAAATTTTCACTCGAAGCTGACGTGCGCCGTGCACCACATCCGAGTTATTTATTCCCACCTTCTGAGACTGAGTAAGTGGGCAAGATTTCAACACGAGTATGGCAAAAATGGATGACCATTGCGATTCCAATATTCGGATGCAGGGAGTCGAACCCCGGGTTTCAGCTTGTAGGTGGACCACGATCCCTTATAAAGGGCTGATGTGCGCCGTGCACTACATCCGAGATATTCCCTCCATTTGGAGCCTGGGGAACTGGGAACATTTGAGCATGGTCATGACCCAAAAACAACCCGGAGATGCAAGACTTATTCAGATGCAGGGAGTCGAACCCTGGCCTTCAGCCTTTCAAATACGGCGAATCCCCAATGTGAAGCTGACGTGCACCACGCACCACATCCGAGTAACTTGCATTCATTTGAACCAGAGAACATGGAAGCTAAGAGCAAGCCGGGCCGATATTTGCACATGTTTCAACTTTCGGCAGAGAGCTCCCATTATCTGAACCGCACCGTAAAGTACCTGACACGCAGCACCTGCTGGCTCCTCTGGCTTCTCTTGCTCGCAGCATCGCCCTGCGACCAACCGCGGTCGACCCCGCCCCCCGCACCTCCGCCGTCCCGCCGATCCTGCCGCTCCGCGGTCGAGGCCGCGCCAAGAACGCCCTCGGCCAGCGCATCCTCCAGTTCAGTCGCCCTCGCTCCTCGCCCCGCCCCTCGTGCACGCGCCGTCCCTCCCGCTCGCGTTCCCTGCGTCTTTCCTCACATCCAGCGCACCATTCTTCACATCCACCGCGCCCCCTCGCGTACGCCTACTCCTCTTCCGACTCGACCCCTTCCCCCGACTTGGCCATTCTGGTGCGGGGGCCGCGCGCGCTGCTGTTCCCGTATCCTCCCGCGCTCGCCCTTGCTCGCTCCAGGCACTCTGCGTCGCCCTACGCCCTCTCTGCGTCTCACGATCTCGACCACCGGGACGAAGTCGACACACCGTTGATGAAGAGAAAGTTGTCGAGGGTGAAGAGGAACACCACGACGGCCTCTGGGCGTACGGCTGCAACCTCGGGGATGTCATCGCGCGCTGGCGGGAGCACGCGCAGCGTGTGGGAGCGGGAGGAGGTGGTGTTGAGGCTTAACGCGGGGGCGGGGGTGGCGGTGGCGGTTTTCCTATCGCAAGAGGCGGCGGTGTTCCCCTCGCTGGTGGTGGCGGCCGCGAAAACGGCCGTTTGCCGTTCGAAGACGGGCGTTTTGCCCTTGACAACCAGGGGAGGAGAGTACGGAGGAGCGACAGGCGGTAGTGGAGGTGTGGGCACCGGGGGTGTGCTGCTCCAGGGTGTACAGGCGAAGACATGGTTCAGGACGTGCAGGCTTTCGACGAGGTCCTCGGTACCACTTTCGACCCCTCCCCAGTGCGTTCGCCAGCACGAGCCTCGATCATCGCGGGCGCACATAAACGCAGACAACCACCCTTGCGATTCCCTCTTCCTTTTTCCGCCTTCCCGCGAGCACAGCCGGTGAGTTCTCTATTGTTCATCTTGTATTCCAATACTCAACGTTTCACTTACCTCAGCGCGTCACTCTTGGCTTTTTATTCAATTTTGGACGCCCCGCAACCAATACCGCTCCACGAAATTCTAGATCAAAATACAAGCTCTCCGCGACCGACGAAGCATTTCCTGCCTTGTTAACTCAATTTCCCTCGACCTCTCGCGCTTCTCGGCCCACGGATTTCTAGCTCAAGGTGTCGCTCTCCCGCGGCCACTCTCTCCAAGATTTCCAAGTATGCATACCCACACTTTTTGTTTTGAACTCCCGCAACGGTGCGGGCTCAGTCCCGCGACTTTGCACACTTACAAATTCCTATCGATACATCACAAACTCGTTTTCTCCTGATGCTCTGCGACTACCAGCTCCAAAACGCGACTTTCCTGCACACTCAAACTTGGTTTTGTTCACCTTCCCCGCGACCTCGTGCCTCGAATCAAGCTCTGTAATATCAGCCCAGAAACTTTCAAATCAAGCTAGCGACTTCCTGACGCCGACTCTACCAATCTGGCGCTTCATTCTTCAAAGTTCTAGACCGCCGACCTTGTGCGCTTTCCCGCGGACTTGGCGCGTTATTTTCGCCACTTTTCTTCCCGCTTTGCCGGCTCTTGTCATACCTCAAAGTTCGTCCTGGATTCGATATCTCGGCGATTTGGCGTGTCTTGCGCGATGTTGGTTGACCCGACGTGTCCCGCCCGTGGTACCTCCGGCAAATTCCAGAGCGCTTTAATTGAGGTTCGTCCTCATTTCCTCCTTAAAACTCATCATTAATATTCTTCTTAACCACATCTATTTCCGCGCGTCTTTGATCACTTTCATCAACAACCGTCCAAGCGCGGTCTAGCAGCTGCAAGGAGCGCCACTAGCCCTGGTTTTGCTCAGAGTACATTTTTTTGTGGCTCTATTTATAAAATGAATATACATCAGAACGTTGTAAGTGCAATCGGCCAGGACGGAGAGTTTTTTGGTACCAAGTATTTATTTTCGGGCTCAGCGAGCAGTAGGTGGAAGATATTTCAGGGTTTTCAACAAAAAAGCAAAAAAAAAAAAGTCTACGGTTGCCATTTATTCGGATGCGGGGAGTCGAACCCCGTTCTTCAGCTTACAGATTGACAACTTGAATGCCCATTTAGTGGTAGCTGATGTGCGCCGTGCACCACATCCGAGTTATTCAACCTCATTTGAGGTTGTATGAGGTGGGATATTTTAACCCAGACACCGGCCAAAAAAAAAACGACATCTAGCGCGAATATTCGGACACGGGGAGTCGAACCCCGTACTTCAGCTTACAGAGGTACTAAGACATTATCCACGGTAAGAGAAGCTGATGTGCGCCGTGCACCACATCCGAGATATTCCTTCCTTTCTGAACCTGGGCAAATAGGATTATTAGAACATCCAAAGAACAAAAACAAAAACAAAAAAAAACATCAGAAGACTTCGCTCATTCGGATGCGGGGAGTCGAACCCCGTTCTTCAGCGTCAACTTCGCACGGTGGTCACAGCCAGTAAGAGCCGATGTGTACCATACACTACATCCGAGCTATTCCCCGTCATTTATAGTTGGGTGAATGTGGTAGTATTTCAACATGAAAAAAAAAAAGCGAAGAAGGAAGTTGGCGCCTGGGGGGAAAATATGAGGCTGCAACTGAAATATAGCAGCCCAAGCGCGAAGCAGCAGTATGCGACATTAGACTCGTTCATTGAGGGCGGGTCAGGGCTGTGTTGTGACGGAGGAGGAGGCGAATGCCAGCGATCTCAACCCTTGTGGGAAGGTGGCAGTGCTCGAACAGTCGATCTACCGGCAAACACCGGTCGCTCTTGCAAACAACAAGGGTTCAATCATCACAGAGAGGACACAAGATCATCTTCTCCCTTTGCCAGCGTCTCTTTCGGTGGTCAAAATCTGGCCAAAGGGTGATTGAAATGCTATTTGTTTCTTGGTGTGACAAAGAAATCATTATTGGAGCATGAAAGACTGGATGGACAATGGGGCCTATTGTTCAAACAGTCTTCAGTATTATCAATAGAATTAATTCTCGACTGGAAAAAAACCGGCAAAGCCGCTTTATTACTCAGAAAATCTTCTATCAAGAGGGGAAAATGAAGAAAACATTCAATATCCTTGGCCTGTTTTCCTAAGCTCCAAAAGTTTAACAAAAATGGTAGACATCTTTCAAATACATTTTTTAGTTTGGAAGATCCATGAACCGCAGTGAGTGCGGCCTTGTTACATAATCTTCGGAGTTTGAAATCTCAATACAAACGCGCGCTACATTTTTCATCTTATCTTTGTTACAAGCCCTAAATTAATGAAACAGGTAGACATCTTTGAACCTCGTTTTTAGGTCACAAAGATGTGTGGACCCCCGCAGTGACTCCGATCAGACCCCGCAATTACTAACAGCAGTCGTATATTTCATGCCTTTCCTGGCATACTGCACCGCGTGATATAAATGATATTATTATAATATAATACAACGAGCAGTCGTATATGGTGATCTGATACATCACAATGTGCTGGGCCAGGGCAATGCTGTGATATAACATGAATTCTAACAAGCACATTGCGCTGATATATCACCCGGTAACAGACTTCAACAAAACGAGGCATAAGTTGAAACGTTGATTGATACCTTGTTGAGGCGTCTGTCTAGGAGAGACTAAACAAGACCCACCCTTGTCAAGCACACCAGGGGTGCCTGAGGTCCTGTGAAAGGGTAATTTCCTTTATTTACGCCTTTCATTCGGCGTCGAGTGTCCAGCATTCGCATGGCAGAAGCCAGATTTCCTCTCTCAAGCTGTTGAAACCAAGACTTGGAAAACCCGGTGCGCTTTCAACCAAAGGGCGCCCCACCGCGTTCTTGTCACTTAGAACCATCGATATCCACCCCATCTCCAAACATCGAGAAGCTATGCCGAGCCGCGAGAATACGAAGCATAGCTTCAAGCTCGTAGTTGTGTGTGGGGATGGTCTACCCGTCAGTGGTCTCTTGACCACCTTCCGGAATGTCGTGGACATGATCAAGGAGACGAGCGGTTGCCCACAATTAATTGATCTCCCGATTCCGGTAGATCTAGGCTACTCCTGGAGGCCCGATAAAGCTGCTTTCTTCCCGCGAGGGCCCAAGGAAGCCTGCTACCCCTCCTGGTTCTCCGTGACGAAGGCAATTCCTATCCATTATGATGGCTACGCCGAAGAGTTGCTGCGTATTCGCGATGCCGTTGCGCAGCCAGAGCACCTTTCGCCCGAGGAGCGAGAGGTTCTTCACCAGAGCATTGAAGAAATTGCTGTCCCCTACCAGCAGCACTTTGAAGCATGGTTTGAGGCAGAAGATGTTGATTGGGTGTGCGCGATTAACATGACGCTATCCGATTCCGTGTCCGTAACGCTTGCGCTCCACCGCGCTGCCGAGAAGCGCTGGGGAAACGGGAAAGACGGCGGTGTGTTGTTCTGGGACCATGATCTTCTGAAAAGCTACGCTGTCCACGAGGATAGCAGGCGAGTATATCCTCCCAGCCCGAACGAGTTTACGCCGGTGCCACAGGACGTTCCGTGGCACACTTGGGCAGTGGTATCCGATCTCCTCGTGCCGGAGACAAAACTCTACCCAACCAGTGCCCAGCCATTGGTCGTACCGAATCTTCTTCCCATCGTTTTAAATCAAAGCCTTGATCTTGACGACCAGGGTATCATCCCCAATTGCCTCCATCGTATTGGAATACTTGAGGGCGTCCGCAATGGTCGTCCAGTCCTACTGTGTCCCGTCCGGATCTTTCCCGTCAAAGGGATAGAGATTTCCATCCGCCTCTTCGCTACCATACAGAGCACATGTCACAAACGCAACCTTCAAGTCCCGTATTTGCTGATATTCGGGGACCCAGAAGAGGACCCGAGATACGCGGCAGCATTGAAGACTTTAGTGGACGATTTAAACGTGTCCGACGACGTCCATTTCATCGGTGGTGTACCTATTTGCTCTGGCGTGTATCGCGAGGTCTCTCAACTTGACGAGAAGGATCTGCTGCGTGTCGCCGCGGCGACTCACGGGGGTGTCCTCTTCAGTCCGTGTACCAGGAACGTCGAGAGCGTAGGCTTAGGTCCGGCGCTGGCCTCGATGGCCGGGATTCCGTGCGCGGTGACAAATTTCAACGCCCTCCATCAAGTTTACAGCGACGAGCTCCACTGTGTTCTCGTCGATGTCCAGAGTCAACAGGGCTTCGATATCGCGGCAGAAGAGTTGGTTGACATCCTTTTCGCGTCCGCCACCAGGCTGCGAGCACATGGGGAAGAGAGCAAAGATTGGCGGGAGAAGGCGCGCGATAACAAGGTACTGATGTCGAAGATGTTCCCCATGAGACCTTGGAAGGACCTCCTCCTTGATCTCGCTGGCAGGGCAGGGATCAACGACGACGCGATATCGGAGGCGCGAAGTGCTTTAGGAATGCTAAATAGTGCTTGATGGGACTGAAATATTTCTACTGGTAAATCGCGCAATGAACGGAATATTATGAATCAATTATTAGACTTGTCTTTAGTCCTCTTGAACCCATCGACGCTCTCTCAAGGTTATTTCTTTTCCTAATTTCGTCCTTGAGCCATCCATTTCCCCACGCCAGGCCCAGTACTCGCTCAAGCGCATTTCCGAGTATTCGTTATGGTTGAAGTCGAATTCAGATATAATCGCCTGGATGAGCGAGCAGATTCCCCTGGAAGAAACAACAATCAAAATTAGATACTTAGTCCCTCCTTGTAGCAACACCTACCAGAAGAAACTCGGAATGGCCTGAAATGCGTCCACTTCCCTACAAAATCGCTCGAGCCGCGCGGGGTCCTCATCGATTGGTCGGCCGCGGTGCTTGTCGTAGCTGCGTATGTATTCGCGCAGGAACTCGCGCCGTGTAGACTTTGTAGGGAGTAAGTTGTAGTCGCACTTGTACCCGGCCCATTCGGCGAAATACGAGCAAATCTCGAACGCAGCAGGCGCGGGTGTGGCATATTCATAATCGATGAAGTCTACCTCCACCACACTGTCGGCGGATGTAGCTGCCGCAGGTCGAATGACGATATTACCAGCAAGCAGGTCGTTGTGAGCGAATACAAGCTAATGAAGAGTTAAAAAACTAGCATGGGATCAACACGAGGCATCATTGCATACTTACACCATCTCCACCGAGTCCCGGTGTATCTCCCAGCTCTTTCACCAGACGCTCGAGCTCTTTTTGATATTTCGCCTGCCTTTCTTCCTCGGCAGGGTTACGGGTGGGCAACGCGTGAACCCACTTCTGCATGAGTGTCCAAATATTGGGCACAGGTCTCCCTGGCATATAAATACCCTCGTGATCGCCCTTGTCCGCATCCGAGTCGGCATTTCCGAACGAATCGGTAGAGAGTACTGCGTGCCAATGCCCCATCGTGCGGGCTACACCTCGCCAGATGCGTTCCTGCGTGACATCATCCTCGGAGCAAACTTTGCCGATCACAAATCCGTAGAGAAGGCCATTCTTAAAGCGTGCGAGCAAGGTCGATGCGAGGCCGTGTTTAGAAAGTCGAGAGTGACAGGAAATCTCTCCTGAGATTTGATAGCAGGAGTCACAGCCTTTCATTTTCAAGGCAGATGAGCGACGTACTCTCGCGATCAATTAGGATCTCAGTCCCGGTGCCGTATGCTCTGAGGAGCAGGGCGCCTTTGTCAATTTGGCTTTTGGTCAGTCCTTGGCGTTTCCTGACCACTTTAAGAAGCTGGTGCAATTTCGTATGTTAGAAGCCGCATGGCTCCAAATGTCTAGCGTACCGTGTTATTTATTCCTTGTGTGAGCCTGATAAACTCGATCTCGTTGCCATCCCACTCGGGGAAACGTGCCTTGACGAGCGCGAGAGCAGATGCCTCGGAGGCGCTAGAGTTGTACGACAACGGAATATAGCGTATTTCTTGCTGAAGGGCGATCTTTTGATGGTCAGAGCTGTCCATATTTTTGCTGCGAGGTTACGCCGAGGTAGGTGCGAGTCGTGACGTGGCGAGTCGCAAGCTGATCACGTTACTGAGATACTTATTCCTTGCGATTTACAGTGATGGGCGTAGGCCGGCAAAGCGGCAGGTCACAAACAGGAACAGAAAAATAAGACGGAGATTTGTTGAATTTGCAGACATAAGGCTCAATGTTCGTTCGGTCGGCGCGCAAGCGCCGATCAGCTCACATTGAGGGTTGTGTAACTGAGCGCCGGAAGATTAAGTAGACGCCATCAGATGCGTTCCTAAAATGGTAATAAATATAAGTCATGTGATGAAGACGAGATTTTTGGTCCGAAATTTAAAAGATTCCGTATTCGTGTTTTCTCTGCTAGTGGTGGTTACAAGACTGATTGATTCCTTCGGATCAGTGATAATAAACTGAACTACACCGCCAAAGTGCCGACACGTTACCTGCCCCTGGGATGGTCATGTTGTGGACATGTTTGGGAAGACCTGGTTCCAGGTGGTAACCTTGTGTTCGCCAGCTGTAAGTTGCAGGTTATTTCACAGCTTACCTCCACCCATCGCGCAATGTGTTGGCCATCTTTTTGAACAAGCTGGCCTTCAGGCTATCGACAATATTAACGAAATATTTAGAACTCATAAGAACCGAATCTTGTCAAAGGACTACTTAGTTTTACTTGTCGTTGCAGCAGGATTTTCCAAGTTATTCCAAGCTACACAACTTGAAAGTGTTGCGAAGTGTTTGAAACTCCGCCATCAGCACGTGAATGGGCTGTGCATGTTGATGTCGCCTTTGTCTCTCTTTCTTTCCTCCACCCATCACCTCAGGTCTCGAATCTTGACAAGACCCCACATTTTTCCATCTCGCGTCGTATGTCCTTCTTTCCTCAGCCCGCCGTAACTATGCCCGGTCTCAAATCACTACAAGACCCCGCCTTTTCCACTCGGGCTTCTCTCTCCGCTCCTGGTTCCATCTGCATTCTGATGTTTTCTCTCGCATACATCTCGCCCTCGTTTCCGTGTCTGCCAATCTCCCCAGGCCATCAAGAACTAGAGTCAAACTCGACAAGAACAAGTCAATACTTCCAAGTTATGTATACTATGGCTCATCAAAAGAGAAGGGAACGACGACCTACCAAGCTTTTCTCGTCGCTGCCATCCAGACTCATCAATGTGAAGAATCTCAAAGGAGATCCACTACTCTATGTTTGAGGCTTGAAGATCTTGACTCAAGTATGTACGTGCCGCCTCAAGTTACAAGTTATTGTCAATGTCCTCAATAATCAAGACGTCAATGCTAGTCTGTTTTTGTTCTTTATCGCTTCCACCTACTGCTCGTTAGCGGACTTTTTCTCACCGCTGAGCGACTGATTTCTGTGGGCCGTCATTCTGTTCCCTACTGCTGCAACAAATTCAGATTTGGTCCCATCGGCTCCCATCATAGCTAAGTCCGTCAAATTTCTTTTTTTTTGCCTTATACCACACATTGACCGGTACATTTTCCAGACGCTCGTACTTCTATATTCCGTGTTTGATGCGGAGACGCTTCATTTCGGCTTGGTATATGCATCTATCTATGTATCTAGTAGACATGAATGCATTCCATTGAATGGTAATATGTGCATCCCGGGATATATTTTGTCAATTTTTTTTTCTGGCTGACCGTGCACCCGCTTCCAGATTCACTGTCCAGCTGGCAGCCACATCGAGCTGGCCACAGTCTGGGGCCATAGGCGACCGAACGTGGTGTCTACCTGATCAATACCTGGTGGCCATTCTCAACCAACATGTAGTATGCATGTCGGGTGCAGCTGGTGGACATGTGTCGGCCAAATGGCGGTGTAGTTCATGCACTGATTCTAAATATAATTTACTTCCCGTGAGTGGAAATTTCAAGCACCCCACTCAGTAGGGGAAAGAAAAGGACAAACGGAAAAAAAAAGAGCGGAAATTTCAAGCACCCCGCTTAATAGGGAAAAGAAAAAGACAACAGAACAACACGGGAAAAAAAGAGCGGAGAAGCCTGGGGCTGAACTCTATTCTCCCTACATAGTCAGACCAAATCAGAATCGTTATTAAAAAACAAACAAACAAACAAACAACTGATATAGGGCTGAACCTCGTGTTAATGGCAGACCAAAATTTTCACTGGAAGCTGATGTGCGCCGTGCACCACATCCGAGTTGTTTATTCCCTACTTTCTGAGACTGAGTAAGTGGGCAAGATTTACACGAGTGCCAAATCTTGCCCACTTACTGTGGCAAAAAATGAATGACCATTGCGATTCCAATATTCGGATGCAGGGAGTCGAACCCCGGGTTTCAGCTTGCAGGTGGATAACGATACCATATAAAGAGCTGGTGTGCACCGTTCACCATCCGAGATATTCCCTTCATTTGAGCATGGTCATGACCCAAAAACAATCCTGAGATGCAAGACCTGCAAATTCAGATATATAGGGAGTTGAAAGAACGCCCTCGGCCGGCGCATCCTCCAGTTCAGTCGCCCTCGCTCCTCGCCCCGCCCCTCATGCACGCGCCGTCCCTCCCGCTCGCGTTCCCTGCGTCTTTCCTCACATCCAGCGCACCATTCTTCACATCCACTGCGCCCCCTCGCATACGCCTACTCCTCCTCCGACTCTACCCCCTCCCCCGACTTGCCCATTCTGGTGCGGGGGCCGCACGCGCTGCTGTTCCCGTGTCCTCCCGCGCTCGCTCTTGCTCACTCCGGGCACTCTGCGTCTCACGATCTCGACCACCAGGACGAAGTCGACGCACCGCCGGATGAAGAGAAAGTTGTCGAGGATGAACAGGAACACCACGGCGGCCTCTGGGCGTACGGCGGGAATCTCTGGGACGTTATCACGCGCTGGCGGGAGCACGCGCAGCGTGTGGGCGCGGGAGGAGGTGGTGTTGAGGATTAATGCGGGGGTGGTGGTGGCGGCTTTCTTCTCGCAGGAGGCGGCGGCGTTCCCTTCGCAGGTGGTGGCGGCGTCTTTACCCGCGAAACGGCCGTTTGCCGCTCGAAGAGGGGCGTTTTTCCCTTGACAACCACGCCCTTCGTGGGGAGAAGAGTGCGGAGGAGCGACAGGCGGTAGTGGAGGTGTGGGCGCCGGGGGTGCGCTGCTCCAGGGTGTGCAGGCCAAGACGTGGTTCAGGAAGTGCAGGTTTTTGACGACGCCCTCGGTACCACTTTCGTGTGCGTTCGCCAGCACGAGCCTCCAGGAGCGCGAGCGCACATAAACGCAGACGACCGCCCTTGCGGCTCCCTCTTCCTTTTTCCGCCTTCCCGCGAGCACAGCCCCTGAGTTCTCTATTGTTCATCTTGTATTCCAACACTCAACGTTTCACTTACCTCAGTGCGTCGCTCTTGATTTTGTATTCAATTTTGGACGCCCCGCAACCAATACCGCTCCACGAATTTCTAGATCAAAATACGAGCTCTCCGCGACCGACGAAGCATTTCCTGCCTTGTTAACTCAATCTCCCCCGACCGATCGCGGCTTCTCGGCCCACGGTTTTCTAACTCAAGGCACCGCACTCCCGCGACCGACGCAGCCACTCTCTCCAAGGTTTCCAACTACGCAAACCCACACTTTTTGTTTTGAACCCCCGCAACGGTAGATTTTGCAAGCCTACAAATTCCAATTCAAGCTATCGGTACATCACAAACTCGGTTTATCCTGAACCTCCGCGACTACCGGCTCCAAAACGCAACTTTCCTGCACACTCAAAACTTGGTTTTTCGCCTTTCCCGCGACCTCGCGCCTCGAATCAAGCCCTATAATATCAGCCCAGAAATTTCAAATCAAGCTAGCGACTTCCTGACACCGACTTTACCAATCTGGCGCGCCATTCTGCTGACTTTGCGCTTTTGTCTTTCTTTTTTGCCCCCCTCGCAGCCTATTTATTGCGCTTCCCGCGACCTCCGGCCTCAAAAGGCAACGTAAAACCGAGAATTTCCGACTACGGGAATCCCGCGACTTCCCCTCAATCGGACGCGTTATTCTGCCGACTTTGCGTCGGTTTTTTTTCTCTTCCCGCTTCGCAGGTGTACAAGCTCCGACTCGATTTTCGAAGTGCCATGATTTCCTGCCTTTGAAATCTGCGCTGGATCAGGCATTCATTCAAAAATTCTAGGCCGCCGATCTTGTCCGCTTTCTTTCCCGCGGACTCGGCGCGTTATTTTCGCCACTTTTCTTCCCGCTTTGCCGCTCCTCTCCTACCTCAAAGTTCGCGCTGGATTCGAAATCTCGACGACTTGGCGTGTCTTGGCGCGATGTTGGTTTGTCCCGACGTGTCCCGCCCGTGATACCTCCGGTAACTTCCAGAGCGCTTTAATCGAGGTTCATCCTCATTTCATCCTTCAAACCTATTAATATTCTTCTTAACCACATCTATTTCCGCGCGTCTTTGATCATCTATCTAATCACTTTCATCAACAACGGTCCAAGCGCGATCTAGCGGCTGCACGGAGCGCCATTAGCCCAGGTTTTGCTTAGGGTATATTTTTTGTGACTCTATTTATAAAATGAATACATCAGAACGTTATAAGTTCAACCGGCAAGGACGGAGAGTTTTTGGGTACCACCTTCGAGCATTTGTTTTCGGGCTCGGCGAGCAGTAGGTGGAAGATATTCCAAGGTTTTCAACAAAAAAGGATAAAAAAAAGGCCTACGGTTGCCATTTATTCGGATGCGGGGAGTCGAACCCCGTTCTTCAGCTTACAGAATGACAACGACCATTTAGTGGTAGCTGATGTGCGCCGTGCACCACATCCGAGTTATTCAATCTCATTTGAGGTTGTATGAGGTGGGATATTTTAACCCAGACACCGGCCCAAAAAAAACAACATCTATCGCGAACATTCGGACATGGGGAGTCGAACCCCGTTCTTCAGCTTACAGAGCTACAAGGACATTGTATTAAGACAAGCTGATGTGCACCGTGCACCACATCCGAAATATTCCTTCCTTTCTGAACCTGGGTAAGTAGGATTATTAGAACATCCAAAGAACAAAAACAAAAACAAATCACGCGGACTCGGATGCGGGGAGTCGAACCCCGTTCTTCAGCTTCAACTTCGCACGGCGGCTACAGCCAGTAAGAGCCGATGTGTACTATGCACTGCATCCGAGCTATTTTTTGTCATTTGGAGTTGGGTGAATGTGGTAGTATTTAAACATGAAAAAAAAGCGAAGAAGGTTGGTACCTGGGGGGGGAAAAATGAGGCTGCGACTGAAATATAACAGCCCAAGCGCGAAGCAGTGGTATGCGATATTAGACTCGTTCATTGAGGGCAGGCCAGGGTTGTGTTTTGACGGAGTTACAGAGAGGCGAGGAGGGGCAAATACCGGCGATCTCGGTCAGATCAACCTTTGGGGGAAGGTGGCAGTGCTCGAACAGTTGATCTACCGGCAAACGCCGGTCGCTCTTGCAAACAACGACAACTGAAGCAAGAAATGTTCTGAACGGGTCATCTCCGGGCTCGTTGCCACACTATACTATCGATCACCCACCTTTGCAAAAAAATATTTTAGCGACCTAAATTCTTGCTCTATCCCTTAGATAAAATAAATATGAGCTCTTCCATACTCTATGAGTATACAACTGAAGTCTCTAGTTGGTTAGTGTCCAGACGACCTCGGAAAAAAATCAAAACCTGTCAAAATTGAGCCTTAAACAGGTGTAAACCCGCTCGGCCTTTTATACCTCTTGCTACACTCAATGCCTGGACTCCCGAAAAATTGGAGGTGAATAATCACTACGTTCCGCAGCCTCCTAGGCATAGCTGTGCCTATGTTAGCGTAGGTCTGGGTAGGTCTGCCTAGACGGCTAGGCAGATCTGCCTAGTTGTGCCTAGCTGTGCCTAGGGCTGTGCCTAGGGGGCTACGCAGACCTACGCAGACCTACGCTCAGTCAGACAAACTGAGCGTAGGTCTGCGTAGGTCTGCGTAGGTGTCTGCCTAGGGGCCCGCGGAACGTAGTGAATCTTTGAGATCTCCTCTACACGACCATATTTTTTGTTGAATAATAACTTGTTTCTATTTTATGTCCAACTATCGTTTTCAACGCGTGACAAACCCGAAGCGAAATTCAAACTCCGCTCGGCACTGCGTTCGGTACGTAACGTACCGAAAGCTTTGCTGAAACGTCGGCCTGATCGGCAGAGGAGTGACAGGCGTGATATTTTTTTTGCAAAGGTGGGTCAAAAAGCATCAAAAATAGACCCCTTATCGGTATGCTTATACCTCCACCCCCAGGTACCAGTAAATGCTAGAAATTTTCGAGGACAGCATTGAGACCCCATAGCTTGAACTCTGTCTAGATTTTAGAGGAATCCGACTCCAAATGCTTGAGCAATGAGTAGCGCTCCCATCAATTTTTTTTTGCGAAGGTGGGTGATCGATAGTATGCACTGGATTACAAAAAGTCCAGTTCAGAAAGGAGTTACAACATGAATAGCCTTATGGGGACATGCCCCCCCCCCCCCATCAACGAGTTCGCTCGTCGCTTGTCGATGTCAACGCGGCTGGCCGTGCCATGTGAGTCGTCTTCAACCTGTCCAGACTCTATACATATACATAAATGTTTTGAGACTCAGCGTAAATGAGTGCCATGAAGCTGATGATAAAGACGCACATGTTCAACATTTTGAGCCGGGGAGCAATTGAAGTTGCCATGAAGATGAACACCTATCTTGAAAAGTATCATCGATGGGGTCCATCGGGTACATACTGAAGTCGTCATACGATTTCACGATACGATTCCTTTCCTGAGTAAGCCTTGAGCTTTTTTTGCAATTTGGAGCGACCAAGCCCTTACCAGTGTTCCTTTCCCACCAAGTTTGAAGCAAGCCCCTTCACTGTTGATCAAAACGCAACTTGTACTTGAAACCGATAACATCACTGGGAAAATACAGAAATAAGACGATACTACGTCAGTCCTCCTCTTTACTCCCACGTTGGTTGTGGAGTTCGAAAACGTACTTCTTTTTCTGTGCTAGAGTCGTGGCCAGGGCCCAGGGCTTGCATTGTACGTGAACTGATTTTCGAGGTGCGACCGCTTGAAGGCGACGAGTATGATGACAGGGTCTTCGTAGAATATGTAGTCACTTCAAACTTCGTATTCATTTATATCATTTTATTTTATCAATGGAAAACCAATGGTTCTCACCGGTATAGTATAGACCGATGGCAGCCAGTTACAGTTTTCAAGTCATGAATAAGAACCCTTTAATCAGCGAAGCTAGGGACATGCTCATTCAGCTATAATTCGGCACAACTGTCGGAGCAAGGAATCGTTCGCAATATAACACAGGAAACATGGAATATTGGGAGCATGTGAAAGCGCGATTTCTAATCCGAGTGCTTCCTGAAATATACTTTGGCCTTGGTGTTCGGAACGCGGGTGTACCCGATGGCCATAGGCGGAGGGCGAACACCATCCGCGGATTCGTCGAGTTTCACATCGTAGTTCATCACCACCACATGCGCCAGCATCGCTTTGAGCTCCGTCGCAGCGAAGAATCGGCCGGGACACGCATGGCGTCCGTGTCCAAACGGCAGATAGTCCACGCCCGTGGTCCCCATGTGCTGGTTGAACATGCGTCCCTGCTCTTTTTTTAGTCCCGGCGGCGCGGAAAGCGGAACGCATCGAATTCATCGGGTTGTCGTATATTTCTGCGGAATAAATTAAACGAGGGGATTCCTACGTGGATTGACAAGACGCACCCGGATCGTGATGTACCCCTACCGTTTCGATCTGCATAAAGGCTCCGTAGGGAAGTGTCTTCCCGTCGGAAAACTTGTAGCCTTGGGGGTTGACCACTTTGCGCCCCATCGAAACTGGAAGGAAATTAATTTGTATTGGATTTTCACTGTAAACCGGTCTGCCGACGTAGGGCAAGTCTGTTTATGCGCGGGGACTCGCGGAGAAAACTGTCAATCTGGTGCATGTTCCCCAGCGCTTCTTTGGTCCAGCCCCCCTCAGAGACTACGCGCTTGACTTCGGAGCGCAAGGGTGCCATGTTTTCGGAATGCGCGGCGAGATCATACAATGCGTTGAGGAACGACTAGGAAATGGGTTAAACTTTGCATGTGCATGTCCAGCCCGTGCTTATAATCGAGGAGGTGTGGATTGCAGCAAAGTTAACCGAGAGGATCCGCTCAACAAGGGATGGAATCTGTCTCTCCTTTTCACTGGCTGCGTCCAGAAGCCATGTAATGAGGTCGTTCTAATCGATCCCTGATGGTCAGTTTCAACAGTTGGCGAAGATGATAAAAGACGCACAGGTCGGGATTCGTCATGCATAGAATTCAGTCGATCTTCCAGAATAGGGCGCAACAATTTCTCGGCCTTCCTCAGGTTCCGTTTCCGCGAGGTGATGAGCGGACCGAATATTCTATACCTCATTTTAACGTTTCAAGTCCTGAAGGAAACAAGAAATCTTGCGGTCTCAGGAAGGAGGAAACATGCGAATCATATGGGCAGCCATTATGACGTCGATGGTGAAATGAATGTTGAGCTTCATCCATTCAGAATTTCTGCCTACTGACATTCAAAAAATTGCGCTATGGAACAGGATCGGCACACTCACAAAGCGGTAATCCGACAAATAAACGGTTGCTAGTCCGGCAGACGATATCCATGACCGCAGTGTACGCGGTGACACTTTTCCATTCTGCGGCAACGATGAGGATGGATATCCAGATGAATCAAACATAATATGGTCACGATTCCCTTCCAGCGACAGAATATCCTCAAAAGCAGCGCGCAGTTCATCTCTGACGTCGGGAAAGCACCGCCCGAGGTTCCTCGTCAGAGTGGAGCGTATCACATTTATGTGCCACTCCGGATGGTCGTTGACGTCTGGGCCCATAGTGTACGCTGTTTGAAGAGCCTGCAGGCCTTTAGAAGCAATATTCCATCCAGTCTGCTCGGAAACCCAGGCGTACATCATTAGCTGCCTCTAAGAAGGAAAGCTGGTCATCTGGGGCCGATCCGACTTCGAGCGTACGGCTTCTTCCGCTTACGATGTACTCCCAGTGCGTGTGCATTGGGATGCGAAAAATAGAGGCTTGATTGCTCAGCGGGCGCTGTCTGTTTGGGCAACCAAAACCCAGCCAAAAAAAAAAAAAAAAATCCTTGAATTTTCTTCAATGTTTTTAAGAGAGCGAAAACCGCCTGTTTTCGGCGTAGGAAATACGAGCTAAAAAGACTTTTTTTTCGTGCTCCATTTTGGTTTCCAAAAATATCTTCAATTTATTTTCCAAACAAGTGTTCTTTTTGCCAGACATTTTTGAAACACAAACACAACCTCTGTTTTCAATCCAACAGACAAAGAAAACTTACTCCTTTTCGGCCAGGCTTTGGATTGCAAAAATCAGGAATTTCTGGCTCATGTTCGTAACACAAAGAGAGCCATAAACAGGTACAATGTTTGCCCCATTTTCGTTTCACACTAAAAGTGCCCCAAAAGGGGGAACATTTTGGGGGGCGGCAAAAAACTTTCCAAAAACGCATGACCCACCGCAGTGTGTCCTTATGTTCCTTGAATTTTTTACTGGCTCTATATAGGTTATGCTTAGAGTTTGTTTGTTTTTGATGGCAGCTAATAAACCGCTGTCCGCTGGGTAACTTTGTGTCGGCATCATAGTTTTTGCTTTATTAGTGGGTCTTCATGTCTTCTGTCCAGCTTCGCACTATTCTGAGAGGTTTTGAGCACAGTACGACTTTACCGGATTGCCAATATGTATTTTGATACCATCACGGCTATTGCCGCTCTATGAACATTTGATCACAACGCCTCTCGTCTCTCCCGCTAGATGGTACTGCTGGCACTTTCTGCCCTAGTTATTTGCAGTGAAGGAATGGGTCAGGTACCCTGATTTCCCGAAGGCGGACGCTCCCGTTCCCCGGCCACAGATTAATAAATTATTATTATTCACCCAATCTGAGTT